CACATATAGTACACACATTGGTTATGGAACAGTACAGACTGCTTACATCTGGATTCTTCAGAGATGTTACAGTAAGACAAGTTCCAATCTGGATAAGATCATACTATCATATAGTCAAGCCTTTACAGATATTTACAATATTACTACACTTAGAAATTGAAAAGTAAAAAAGGATTAAAGAGAATATAAAATAAGATGAAAATTAAGTTCTGATCATCCTTGACAGATAAAGAGAAGTTAGACAAACATATAAAGCACAAATATAATGGAAATTGTGCTAAGCTTCTATCCCACCATCCCCTATTCTGCAGAAAGCCTATAACTTAAAGAAAAGCATAATCTTTGCTGAGAAATAAAGAGAAGAGATGAAACTAAAGATCCAATGAAGCGCATCAACAGTCCCTCTCACATGCTTAAAATTAAGCAGGTATGTAAGAGTTTTGAGTGCCCAAATACCAAGCAACAGAAACCAAAATGCTACTTTACAGACTATTCTGTTACAAAGACCAGAAAAAAACCCACTGAGTGAAAGAGCTAAAGTTTAATCAGACTGTGATGAAACCCATAACTAAAACAAGAGACAAAAAGAATTCCTCAACAACTATTTGACTATCAAATATTAAACCACTGCATCCACAAAGCACCTGTAATCCCTGAAACTGTCCACATGCTGAAAGAGACCCAAAAAAATCTCCTCCAAACAGTGGTACCCTCAGGGATAGCAAAATTTCAAATGAGAAATTGGAACCTGAACCCCATCCAATTGTTAGGCAGCTAGTGCAATTGTTTGTTGGAATAGGAGAAATAAAGCAGGATCCAGGAGATCAGTGAACCCTCTTATATTGAACAGAAGTACTTGTGGCACCTTAGAGACTAACACATTTATTTGAGCGTAAGCTTTCGTGGGCTACATCCCACTTCATCAGATGCATAGAATGGAACATATAGTAAGAAGATATATATACATACAGAGAACATGAAGGTGGAACATGAGCTCATCTTAATTAATTAGCCTCTTAGAGTTGGTATGGCAACTTCCACCTTCATGTTCTCTGTATGTATATATATCTTCTTACTATATGTTCCATTCTATGCATCTGATGAAGTGGGCTGTAGCAAACGAAAGCTTACGCTCAAATAAATTTGTTAGTCTCTAAGGTGCCACAAGTACTCCTGTTCTTTTTGCAGATACAGACTAACACGGCTACTACTCTGAAACCTCTTATATTGTTTTATCAACATTTCAAGAAGGGGTAGCTTTGAGATCATATATCTCATCCCTTTTCAGAGAATTGTCCATTTAACCAGATTGAAAGCCGCCACCATGCAGATGTTGCTCCAAATCAATATTGACTGTGTTCAGTTTGGTAAACTAGAAAACCCTCTAGAATATAGTAGAGACAGGTCAAGCTGAAAGATGTCCATTCTCATAAAATAGTACATTAAAAATAATCTTGTCAGAACAGGCATCTGGAAAGGGGATGCACTACAAACAATCTTATTCACCCACGTTCTTATTCATTCACCTATGCTGGATTGGTTTTTTAGCATTAGCTTCAGCTAATATACAAATCCAGTTCCAGAACACAGGTGCAGTTTTTGTTTTGTTTCAACTCTTTATTATCAAAACAGAAATATATACAATCATTTGACCATATTCTTTACTGTCTCTTGTCCATCATCCTTCCACAATAAATCTTTATTATATAAACTGTGGCGGGATTAGATTTAACCGCATTGCAACTGACTAGGAATCCTGTGCTAGCTTCTGCAAACATGGGGTGCAGGATGTTGTTGGTATAGCTTTCAGCAACAGAAAGAGTTGTATCAAAGGCCTACTTTCAGTCTTCTGAAAATTGGATCTTGACCTGAGTCAAGGATAATCAGATATCTATACATAAAATGAGGAACTAAAAACTGATGGAAATTAGGTGGGGCCCCAGTTAGGATTAAAATCTTCTTGTACTTCAAAGAGTACTAAGAAGGATTAATTGTAAGCAAAGTAGATTGGACGTTTACAGAAATAACACTTTATAGAGAGTCCATTTTACAGCCCTCTCCCAGAATGATATACTGAAATGCTAGTGGAAAGACAGTGCAAAAGTTGCTCAAACAGTGGACTCATTTGTTTTAGCTTTGTGATCAAAGGTGAAGAGGATAGATTTAAGTCCATTTTCATTAGAATGTACCTGACTAGCTGACACTAAAACCACATGATGAGAAATTGCTACAAAGGCAAAAGGTAAATTTGCATCATAACGCAAAGTCAACTTACTGGAATATGTGGCAGTGTAATTGTTACTTCATCTCCTTTACCAACCTGGAGCTCCCCCTCACAAGATGTGTCTATAGATGCTGGCTTAAAATCATCTGAAGAGGAAAATAAGTGGTATTAAATACATTTCACTTCTAAATTGTTTCTAGAGTCTCCATGATTTCTCTTCTGAGCTAACTCATCTCCTGCTTTATTCCTGATTAGAAGGAATGTAAAACATGGGCTAATGCTACTATTTAAAGAAGAGCTGGACTAATGCATAGGCATAACACATCTAATTATGTGGATACCAGCTCCTTAAATCATGTGATTACCTCATATTTTAATCTTTCAATTTTTTTAAAAAGTAAGTTTCTAGCCATTCTGGTCAAGGAAAAGCTTCAACATATGACCCAGGTATAACCAATGCAGTGACATTTGAGTCTGAAGACAGTCTGAAACAAGCAGCCAACACAGCATGTGAGTGCGGGTCACTTGCCAGGATTATCCGGGTATATTCTCACATTCTCATTTCCCTGCCTTTTGCGGGGGCCTTGGGCACTGGTGCATCTCGGTCCCTCCTCTTCTCTGCCTGTGGCACATAACAGTCTAGTCTCCTGTGTGGCACTACTACTTTTGTCTAATTTCAGTTGTTGGGTTTAGTCAGTGGGTGTTGGTTGCCTGTGATACACAGGAGTCAGACTAGATGACCTGGTGATCCCTTCTGGCCTTAAACTCTATGACTTTAAGTGGTGAACTGCTCCAAGTATCTCAACAGATTGTTAAATGTAAGACTGAGTGGTTTGTGGGGGGACCTGCCATCATAACCTCAGAACTCCCTGTCTGACAGAAGCAGAAGAATACAGTGGGCCGAGCTCAGCTACCCATGCAGATACACCCTTGCTGCGATAAGTTCTGGTCAGAGCCCCTAGGCTTCTACCTCTACTTCTCCAAGTGGGAGAAGGGAGCAGAGAAAAGGCCTACATGCTATTGCCCCTCCCTGTATGGGAGAAGGGCCCCCTCACCAAGCCATTCCAGATAGAGGGTGGGAGCATGACATAGGAATGGAATTGTAGGGGCAGATCCACAGGAGCCCTTGTGTCGGTCAGAATATGCCTGAGGTAATTTAAACCCCTAAGATAGCTCACGAAAGTTCATGCTCAAATAAATTTGTTAGTCTCTAAGGTGCCACAAGTACTCCTTTTCTTTTTGCGAATACAGACTAACACGGCTGCTACTCTGAAACCAATTACTAGCTATTGTTTCCCTAAATGTATCAGCGTGGACTTGCTGGGTTGAGTAACAGGCAGCTGCAGAAGGTTTCCCTAATCTAGTTTAGCAGCCAAAAGGGAGCAGGCCTCTTAGCCCCCCCCTCATTTCTCATTAATTGCTATGTGTGCATGTATCATAAATAATTTTGTGTTTGTTTTGAGCCTGACATTTTACCAGAGCCTCCTCATTTACAAGTCTGGCATACCTCTCTCTTACATATACATACAGGAATGGTAGGAGCCGGGGTGACTGACAAAGGATTTCAATACTAGGCTTCTTTCCTAGGGTCAGTGGCAGACGAAGATACACCATGCAAAACATTCTGCCTCAAACCTGTAGCAGATACTATTTATTTTCAGGTGGACCTTCCTGCCCACATGGAAGGCTGGGGCCTTTAGCAACCACAGTATAAGAGGAAAAAATAGCAAAAGTGGCTTTCCCACCCCATGCAGTGAAGCTTGAAGGGCTGTCAGAAAACTCATCTCCCAGAACTGCCAAATACCACTCATCTGGAGCCAGACTCCCACCTGGAGGGAATGGGGGAGGTCATGTCATGCTCTTTACAGTGTACTGAAGGATTTTGATGGACATTTCAATAAATCTTAAGAAACTGTGTGTGTATGATCTCCCTTATTCAGACTTTCTCAGGTGAAGCCAGAGCTCTGCATCTTTCACAGTATAAAGTTTAAACTATGTCATCTGATATGACACTCAGAAAGAGATTCACTTCCCTTTCCCCCACCCACCCATAATTTTTACAATTACTTTCAAACTAGCCTCACTTTAATTTCCTTCCCCCATCTAAATTTGCAATTGAAAGTTGCTGCTCTCCACATAACCAGGTAAGAGCCTAGGAAGGAGGAGCTGGGGAGGAATGGGCAGAGTGGATGGCGAGCTGGTAAGGGGCCTGTGCAGCAGTTGAGGTGGTAGGGGACATTGGACAGTTAGGGGCTAGGGCTCAGAGGCAGGAAGGGCAGGTGAGAGGAGGAAGATATGGGGGAAGAGAGTGGGGGATCCTAGCGCACGGAGTGTAACGAGGGTCCCCGGAAAAGGGGACAAGGTTGGACTCCTCCTCTCTCCCTCTGAGGCGGGTGCAGCCTGGGGGGGGAGGCAGGAAGTGCGGGGGCCGGGGTGTCCTTCGGTAGAGGAGTAAAGGGCTAGGCCAGGGGGGTACCCCAAGAGGTGCAGGAGGGACGGGATCCCGGGCAGGGCAGGGGGTCCCAGGGGCAGGAGTATCCCCGGGAGCAGGGGGGACGGGGGCAGGGCGGGGGGTAGCCCCGGGAGCAGGTGCAGGGTGGGGGCAGGATCCCGGGCAGGGCGGGGGGCAGCCCCGGGAGCAGGGCGGGGCAGGGGCCCGGGGCGGCTGGCTCACAGCGGATGGTGTGGAAGGAGGCCTTGGGGCGCCGCTCGAAGCTCTCCCCCAGCTGCAGCCCGTGCTCCTCCTTGTCCAGCAGCGGGTTCGCCGAGCCGTTCATGCCCCTGCCCGCGCCGGACCCGCACTCAGCAGCACCCGGCAGCGGCGGATCCCCCGCCCCGCTCCCTTCCGGGGCAGCGTGTCACCGGGAAAGCGGCCCGGCTGCAGGGCGCGCCCCGCGCGGGTAGGCCCAAGGGGGGGGCGGGATGGGGGGTGTCTGGGTGGGGTGTCTGATACGGGGAGCAGACTGGGGATGTCTCGGGGGGAGGAGGTGTTGGAGAGCAGGACAGGGGTGTCTGACACGGGGAACAGAGGGGTGTGTGGGAGGGGAGGGTGGGACAGAGGGAAGGGCTGTCTGGGGGGCGTGGGGGGCAGGCTGGGGGTCTCTGACACAGGGCAGCCCTGTGCGTGCAGGATCAAGTTCCCACTGAGCGCTGAAGAGCTGTGTGGCCCATGAGCTCTCTTTAACACCGGTCACGTCCACACCGAGAAGAGGCATCATGTTTGTAAACACGTTAACTCATGGGGCGATAAACTTAACTTCGTACCTAGCAGAGATGGGGACAAGTTGGGTTTAAAAACAAAGTAACTTTCAGACCAGCTAACGTGTCTTTACATGTGATTGTCCATGTTCAGACTAAACTCAATATCATGTATAACGCCATGTTGGTTAATATTTTTCTCGTGTAGATATCGCCAATGAAAATGATCAATTGGGGGGGGGTTTGGTTTGTCTTGTTAAAAAACGTACTGTATCTGCTTCTGTTTATTGTCTGACAGAGCACATTGTAAAGCCTATTAGTTTACTCTGACTTTTTTGAATCGTTGGGCCGAGTTGTGAGGTTTTTGTTCTTGCAGGGTTTGGGACTCTTGTTACCCTAACTTTGTCATAGATTTTTAAGACCAGAGGGGATCATATAGTCTGACATCCTGTATAACTGACCAAATAATTTTGGCCTTGTTTTAACTTGGTTCTGTATACACCTTTAAACTTTGTATTTGTGAATGGGTAATGTCATGACTGCACTATATAAATAAAATATAACATTTTTGCTTTGGTGAGGCATTGTTGATTTTTACCTGAAAATGGGGATGTTGTCTTCATCCTTCGTCTTATGTTTTTGAATGTCAGAGGTCAGTAGCTCACTTTTATTTTTTTGTAAAATAACACAAAGGCTCCAGTCCAATCTGTGCTTGCACCAGCATGGAATCCCACTGGAATCATTGGGGATATGAATGGGTGCAAGGTTCCTTTCAAGTGGATCAGATTGCAGGATCAGGCCCATAGTGTGGGGACAAGGTGATAGTTTTTGTGGCTTCTGTATGATGTATAAGAGGACCAGAAGTGTGTCTTATTGACTGTTTTTGTTTTTAATCTTAGAAATCTTCGGAAAGTCAAGTCTGATCGTGCCTGGTTTTGCTGGAGGACTTTCGTGGAGGTTTCAGAGAAGTAGGTTTGGTGCTTTCTAAGCCTGGTGCTTAGAGCGAGTTACAAGAAGTCCCTAAGAAGTGCAAGCTATAACCCTTTTCTTGTTATTTCTTATGTTTCTAGGGCCTTGATTGTCTTTTCTGAAATCAGAGATGGAAATATACACCTGAGGAAAAAACACTTTAAATCTGCTTTGTCTGTATTCATATGGATGAATCCAGGATGTTCCAAGGAAACACATTTGATAATTACTTGAATTCAGTCGCCCCAATTTGTGAAGATGATGCTTTCCAAAAGAAAGGGCACAATGCAAGGACCCTTAGCCCTGAAGAAGCTGAGAAACTGGCAAGAGATCAAGTCTTGGTGTCTGACTTCAAAAAACTGAAACTGGAGAAAGAGGCACAGAAGAACTGGGATCTGTTTTACAAAAGAAACAGCACAAATTTCTTTAAAGACAGGCATTGGACAACTAGAGAGTTTGAAGATTTAAAAGCATGCCGGGAGGTGAGCCATTACGTTAGTTCTACAAGTAAAGGGGAAAATATTGCTAATTTATTTTCAAATGATTTAATAGTTCTCCAAATAAGATATCAGTGACAGATCACTGTTGTATGTCAAGTGTGCAGTGTTGTGTAGTTGATAGCCTCCATTACTTTTAAGATAAAATATATGAAACGTTTTTAATTGGACTTTTCAGTCTGTTCTCTCCTCACTATCTCTGTTAGCAGGCTCCAACCGGGACCCATCTGAAAGTTTCAAAAGTTGAAATCTCTTATGAAGTCTTTGAATAATAGTGGATGATTGACCTATATTTTACATTCAGACCAACTCTCTCTAGAACAGTGGTGCCCAAACTTTTCCTGTCGTGCCTCCCACTTACCAGTAATGGAATTTGTCCATGTCCCCCCCTCCATTACTGTACAATTGGCTCAGCAAAGGAGCTTGGGCTGAAGGCAAAGCTGGGGCCTGAACGGGAAAGGAAGAGGATCTGAGGCTAGAGGCAAAGCTGGCCTGGGGTTGGAGAGGGAATCAAACAGAGCTGGGCCATGGGTGTGGCTGTGTCTGGGGTGGGGCCATGGCTGCAGGTGGAGCCAGAAGCAGAGCTGTGGCTGGGGCAGGGTTGGAGAGGAGCTGGGGGCTGAATGGCGCTCCCTCTCCAATCCGCATGGGGGCTGGCCTGGGCCTTTCTCTCTGCACCCCCTAGAGGGGCGTGCCCCACAGTTTGGGGACCACTGCTCTAGAATATTTGCTCTGTGTCCTAAATTATATCCGAGTTCCTCTCTTTCTTCCAATTTTCAGACACAAGTTGCAAAACTTCTGAGCACTCTGTTATAAAGTCACCTATCTAGAATAGTCAATGCATTAAAATATACATTTTAAAAACACATTCAAATGTATTTGTTGTTCACCCTATTTAATAAAAGGGCCAAGGCAAAGAGGATAGCATAATTTGATCGTTGCTGAAATGAGTAGATCACAAATGAGATTTTAGTAGTTTTTAAAGAGAAACTTAATGTAATATAAATTGCCAGTGGAAGGATACTTCCGATTTTAAACTGATAATTGAAACTCTAATCCTAACTTTAAAATGTGAAAAGCAGTATCTTTGTACTATGAGGATCAAACACAAGTGATGTTCTGTATGCTTGGCCTCTTTCTCCCATATAGTTTGAAGATCAGAAACTGACCATTCTTGAAGCAGGCTGTGGGGTTGGAAATTGCTTGTTTCCACTTTTAGAAGAGGACTTGAATATCTTTGCTTATGCCTGTGATTTCTCTCTAAGAGCTGTTGAATATATAAAGGTTGGTGTGATATTTGTCTGTATTTTTAGTGCTTCTTTAGAAATTTGTGCTCTTCAGAGTCCAGATTATCTAGCTTTGTTTTCTTCTATAAGGATGGTAAACTGTCCTGTATGGAAGAGGAGAGAATCTGATATACAGTATTGAAGCTTAATTTACAAGAAATTGAATCATCACTGAGGACCTGATTTTCTAGTATTAAATTATATTACTGTAATAGTAAGTGTGAATGTTGTACTTAGATATTTCCTAAAAGTTAAGTTTGGTCAATGAGAATAATAGATTGATTCAGCAAAGAAAGTCCTTTCCCTTCCCCCCCCAACGTACCTATGTCCTGACAAACAACACAATACAACACAAATTTGATTTGGGACATAAACTCAGCTGTGACATCCTTTGCAAGGAAGGAGGAGGGACAACCAGAGTGATCTTGAAAACAAAAACTGAGAGGCTCTTTTCAAGAAAATTTGAAGACCTATTATAAACAGATAGCATGTTTATACTCATTAATTTATTTTTATACAATACATTACACCCTCGCTAGAATGCCTAACAAACCTTTGGCTATAATGAACCCAGTCCGTGGATCCTACCTCCAGCCCCGGGGCCGCTGGTGTAATTGTGTTATTTTGACAAAATATGCAGAATTTTAAAATATTGTATGCAGAATTTTTAATTTTTTAATTTTTTGGAACAGAGTTCCCTCAGAAATAGTGACACAGCACTCCAGTGACACTGTAGTGCTTAGTGAAGACGCTACCTATGGCAACAGGAGAGCTTCTCCCATCAGCTTAGGTACTCAATCTTCCCGAGAGTTGGTCGATATGTTGATAGGAGAAGCCTTCCTGTCAACATAGCACTGTCTACACTGGGGGTAGGTTAGTATAACTCCATCACTCAAGGGTGTGGATGTTCCACATCCCTGAGCCAACAAAGTTATACCAACATCATTTCCTAGTGTAGACCATAGTGTGACTATGGACTTGAGTAAACAGAAAGCTTGGAGTGAATGCACTTTTGTAGTTCTGTTTCCTTTTGTTGTGCTCCCAGTTTAAAAAAAAATAAAAATCACAAAATACAATTTTGTCTTTTATAATTTTATAGCAAATGCTGTTACTTTTCAACTAAAGTAACATCTTTTCACTCCATAGAAGAACGCTTTATATAATATTGAGAGATGTAAAGTATTCCAGTGTGATCTGACCAAAGATGACCTTCTGGAAAATATACCAGCAGATTCTGTGGATGTTGTCACATTAATATTCGTGCTTTCTGCCATTCACCCTGACAAGATGCACCTTGCCTTGCAAAATATTTATAAGGTAAATATGTAAGTATAGCTTAACAGTTTTGGGGGGGAGGAGGTTTGATCTTTTTTGACTCAAGAATACGATTCCACTCTGAAAAGAAATTATGTGAAAATGACAGGTTTCAGAGTAACAGCCATGTTAGTCTGTATTCGCAAAAAGAAAAGGTATTCGCAAAAAGAAAGCTACTGTAGCTCACGAAAGCTTATGCTCAAATAAATTGGTTAGTCTGTAAGGTGCCACAAGTACTCCTTTTCTTTATGTGAAAATGGCATCTCCTTAGTTAGTACTTTACTCCCTAAGTGAATTCAGTCATATTTGCTTACTATGGGGACTAAAAGAAGTTTTGACTACATTTTTCTTCTGTTAGTTCTGAGTGAGTGACCTGGATTCTCCTGTGGCTTGTGCATCATCAACATATCTAAATTCATGTTACAAAATTTTTCATGTTGATAATATGACATCTACATTGAATCATAGAATCATAGAATATAAGGGTTGGAAGGGACCCCAGAAGGTCATCTAGTCCAACCCCCTGCTCGAAGCAGGACCAATTCCCAGTTAAATCATCCCAGCCAGGGCTTTGTCAAGCCTGACCTTAAAAACCTCTAAGGAAGGAGATTCTACCACCTCCCTAGGTAACGCATTCCAGTGTTTCACCACCCTCTTAGTGAAAAAGTTTTTCCTAATATCCAATCTAAACCTCCCCCACTGCAGCTTGAGACCATTACTCCTCGTTCTGTCATCTGATACCATTGAGAACAGTCTAGAGCCATCCTCTTTGGAACCCCCTTTCAGGTAGTTGAAAGCAGCTATCAAATCCCCCCTCATTCTTCTCTTCTGCAGGCTAAACAATCCCAGCTCCCTCAGCCTCTCCTCATAACTCATGTGTTCCAGACCCCTAATCATTTTTGTTGCCTTTCGCTGGACTCTCTCCAATTTATCCACATCCTTCTTGAAGTGTGGGGCCCAAAACTGGACACAGTACTCCAGATGAGGCCTCACCAATGTCGAATAGAGGGGAACGATCACGTCCCTCGATCTGCTCGCTATGCCCCTACTTATACATCCCAAAATGCCATTGGCCTTCTTGGCAACAAGGGCACACTGCTGACTCATATCCAGCTTCTCGTCCACTGTCACCCCTAGGTCCTTTTCCGCAGAACTGCTGCCTAGCCATTCGGTCCCTAGTCTGTAGCTGTGCATTGGGTTCTTCCGTCCTAAGTGCAGGACCCTGCACTTATCCTTATTGAACCTCATCAGATTTCTTTTGGCCCAATCCTCCAATTTGTCTAGGTCCTTCTGTATCCTATCCCTCCCCTCCAGCGTATCTACCACTCCTCCCAGTTTAGTATCATCCGCAAATTTGCTGAGAGTGCAATCCACACCATCCTCCAGATCATTTATTGCTGTAGGGCTGGCTGTTAGAAGAAAAATCTTTTTTGCAAGTAACCTAAGCAGATTTGCTATATGGTCCTTGAGACGCAGCACATGGAATCACATGATGCCATTTTTACAGCATGACTTTTTGCCTTTTTAAGAAATACCCATTAAGAAAATGCTATTATGACTTGTTTTTATAAAAAGGAAATCAGCTGATTGGCTGAAAGTCAGATCAGAGATAAACAATGCTTTCTCTAGGTTCCCAGCATTATTTTCTCTTGGTTTTTGTTACCATTTTTATCTATACCGAGCACCTTAACACACTAAAACAAAATGCAGTGTTGTCAGATGTTTTTAATGAGAACTAAGTACCATTATTTTTCCTTTATCTGAATTTAAAGTTTCTATGGTAGTGTGTTATGTTGATAGTGACTAAGGCCCTGATCCTGATGATAACACTAACATATGTGCTTAACTTTACACACGGTGAGTAGTCCCATTGAAATCAGTGGGACTACACACAGTATACAGAGTTAAGCATGTACATAAGTCTGTGTGGGACTGGGGTCTTAGGCTTCAAACAAGAAGTAGAGGAGGAGCATTAGCATCTCCTCCTGTGAAGTGCTGAGATTTTTCAACTCTGATTGAGGATTGAAACTCAGCATCCTGCAGGAGCAGACACTAAAATGAAGAGCTGATAAACGCACAACTACTTTGAGATAACTGTTGTCCAAAAATATTTGGCTACTGATTGGGAAGAAAGGTTCAAACTTACATTATTTTTATTTGCAGTTCGTATTTGGATTTTTATATTATAGGATATTTACTGTATCACATCAGCTATACTCTGACTAATAAAGGTTAGGTTTTGATATACTTCAGAGGTTGTTTTCTAAAATAGAGATTTATTTCCTAGCTCAAATGGGACAGAGGCTAATTACTGTTTTCTTTGTGAAGATGGCTTAGCTCATTTAATCCATTTGTTCACTTCTGCAGAAATTTACAAGCCACAAATGTTTGCTCTCCTTTAAATAATTTTGTTATGTCCACTTTACTGATATATCTGAATTTTATCTGACAGATATTAAAACCAGGCAAATGTGTCTTATTTCGAGACTACGGGCTCTATGATCATGCAATGCTTAGGTTTAAATCTGGCAGCAAACTTGGAGAAAACTTTTATGTTAGACAAGATGGGACAAGATCATATTTCTTTACTGATGGTAAGATATTTAATAGAAACTTTTTTCTCTGCAAGTTTTTTGTTTAAACTTGCTTCAGTGAATCGCTGCTATGCCTTTAAGGGTTGCTTGTTACATATATGAACTATGCAACCTTGGTGTAATTTGTTTTCCAGCTGTATATGTTTGTTTTATAAAAATGGCAGGACTGAAGGAGCAATTTGATCTGTTGACAGAACTACCTATATGTACCATCATGATGAGGCCACAGCATTATAGGTTTAGAACTTGTTAGCTGCAGTGGCCTCATTCAGATCAATACTCTGAAAGAAAGAGAAAAATGCTTCGGAAAAGATTTGGTCTCCTACATCACGAAGCAACTAAGGGATGCAGTTATCCCATAATAGTTTTATTGCAATGTTCTTACGTGTATGAAGCCTGATTTAAAACCCATTGAAGTCAGTGGGCCTTGAAGCAAACGTATGACTGGAATGAAGGAAAGCTTCTACAAGCTTTCATTGAGGTAACACTGTGCTAATAATTTGACTAGTTGTGACTGCTGTCTCTTCTGGTAGATTATTTCCAAGTTCAGCCAGCTCTACATTTTAGTAAAGATAACTTTTAAAAGCATTTCATTATCATCATCTTATGACACTAACAATACTTACAGTAGTACCTCAGAGTTATGAACACCTCAGGAGTGGAGGTCGTTCATAACTCTGAACAGAACCTTATGGTTCTTTCAAAAGTTTACAACTGAACATTGACTTAATACAGCTTTGAAACTTTATTAACCAGAAGAAAAATACTACTTTTTTTTTTAGTGGTTTGTATGTACCACAGTACTGTACTGTATTTGCTTCTTTTTTTGGTCTCTGCTGCTGCCTGATGGTTTAGTTCTGGTTCCAAATGAGGTGTGTGGTTGGCTGGTCAGTTCGTAATTCTGGTGTTCGTAACTCTGAGGTTCTACTGTATATAGTCTTTCATTGAGGGATCTCAAAATGCTTTACAAAAGAAGGTAAATGTCCCACCTTTATGGATAGGAAAACTGAAGCACAGAGAAATTAAGCAATTTGCCCAGAGTCTTGTACAAAACTGGGATTGTAACTCTGGTCTCTTGACTCCCAGTTTCGCTCACTGAACACTAGAGAACAAATACTTCCCTGTATTAATTATGGGGCTACATGAAAGAAAAAAGTCTTTTTTTCCCCCCTCCTTTAAAGCAAAATCAAACATTGAAAGTCTTTTGGAGCTAAGTAAATAATTTTTATATTTTATGACGTAGTCGGTTACCTAGTTGCTGCTCATATTTAAAAATAAAAGCTAATTCCATTGATCATTTTTGAGATGCTTCTGTTCTTTAAAGGATATTAATTAAATTTAAGATAAATAATGCAAGCAGCTATGCAACTTAACCCAAGCATTCCTAAGGTCATTTTTGTTCATCAAATAGCTTGTTTAGTTAAACTTATACTGGTAATTGTGGCAAACTGAGTTCTGCTGTTGGAGGGAGGGACTGGGGGACCCAGCCTAGAACTGGAAATTTGAATTCAATCTCTTGTTAGGTATTTCGAGAATGAGATATCACAGTTGAGTGTTTTGGATGGGAATTCTTAGTGAGGTTTTTTTCCTTGAATTTTGAAGATTCTGTTATTACCTGCTGTCTCATTTTCTTGTGGTGATATGAAAACAACCTGTATATTGTGCAATAGTAGCGAATGACTCTTAAAATATCATTCACCAGTGTCAGTTCTCTCCAAAATGGCCTGTTGAGTTTAACTGTGATCTAACAAATTTGTTTTTCCAGGAGTTTGATAGGCAAAACATATTGTCTAGTGTAGCAAAATGTGCTTTGTGACCACTTGGTGGTGGTTCGTGGAGGAGCTTGCCAGTCAGGAGGTGCTAGCGTTCCTCCTTATTTTCAGCTGAGAGAAATTAAACAGATGAGAGAGGTGAAAGGAGGAGCAAATGCAGATAGTGATTGTTCCTTTTTGAAAGGGATAGATATGTGGCTCAAACAAGATTATCAGTTTCTCACCTTCTCAGAGAACTAATTTTTTCACTCCCCTAAATTATTTTTAATTAGTAGAGGAGTGAGTGTGTAGATCTTGCTCATAGCCTGATTTCATTACAGTGAAGTTGTCCTATGGTGGCAGTATCCAGGGTGACCTTACAGCAAATGTGAAAAATTGGGACAGAGGGTTGGGGGTAATAGGAGCCTATATAAGAAAAAGACCCCAAAATTGGGACTGTCCCTATAAAATTGGGACATCTGGTCACCCTAGCAGTATCTATTATTTATATTTCAGTAGCTTGTATTTCTTGCACTGTACAAACGACAATGAGCAACAATTTCTGCTATGGAGAGTTTACAGTCTAATTAGGTAGAACAGATAAAGAAAGGTGTGAGGGTAAACAGAGGAGAAATAGCAGGTCAGCGGCAGAGCCAGGTCTTCTGACTTCCAGTCCAATGTCCTGTCTCCTAGGCCTCGCTCGCTCCTCCAGGGAAAGAAATACTTCACTAAGGTTTCTTCCTATGTGTGTACGGAAAGTAAGTTTGAACTGTAGTATCAATGTAGTATCAACATTTCCAGTGTGCCACCTTACTTTTTTTTCTGTTTAACTACAATGTGGGAACTTGGCATATTTTGCCCCTCTGTAGAGAGCAAGGCGAGTCCACCACTGAAATCTTCTAAGTGGGGTTGAAGCGGGACTTAAGATGATGCATTGGCTTTGTGCTGGCCCACTACACAATGTGAAAATAATTTCATAGTGATTCAGAAGAGGAATGGGAAAACTTTCAATTTAAAAGGATAAATGCACACAATTTGGGAAACAGATTGTGTTACCAGTTTAAAGCCCCAGTCCTGCAAGCTGCTCTGCATGAAAGCAGAGCCTCATAGGCTTCAGTGAAGCTCAGTGCAAGTGTCGGTGTCTGTCTGCACAGAGCAACTTGCAAGTTTGAACCCTTTGTGATTTTCATGAAAGTGGATGTAATTAAGTAGTTAAAAACAAATGCTTGTAAAAATGCTCACTAGTACTTAAAAACAGTCTAAACTAATTTTTAGTAACACCACCTTTCATCTTTCTCCCTTGTAGAGTTCTTGTCTCATCTCTTTAAGGCTGTAGGATATGAGCAAGTGGTCAATGAGTATGTGCTGCGAGAAACTGTGAATAGGAAAGAAGGCCTGCGTGTTCCAAGGGTTTTTCTTCAGAGCAAATTTCGAAAGCCTCTGAGTGAAGCATGAGTATTTGCTAATGAACCACAGAAACGCTTGTTTAAATGGGGTGTTGAAGGGGGGAAATCTAGTGTGGTGTTTTTCCTTGGCTGTATAGTCCTGGAGTCTGCTAAACCAGAATGACAGAATCATGTTTTCCAAAACCTTCTGTTTTTGATCCTTGGGTATAGAAGATGAGAGTGACTATTAGAATACAATTTTAAGATAGGATAAAGGTACCTATATACAATCAACCTCTTTGAGTGCCTAAATCTCCCCTTTTTAAAGTAAATTCTGTGCACCATTGTGTGCTCTTGTGTGATTTTAATATAAAAATGTGTAAATAAGACAGTCTGTTTTTAAATAATTCTCCAAGGATTTTGCGTAGGATTGTAATTTTCATTAAGGAAAGTATGTTGTTGAGCATAAACAGGCTAAATGTTAATTATAAGCCAATGTTTCCACTAGTTGCAAGAATGGATTAGTGTTGTGTCCCTTCTCTTTCATATTAAAACTATTTTATATTTCTGCTAATGCACACTTTTTGTTTGATATTCATTTTTATAATAAGGCCTAAACAGACTTCAGTGAGAAACTGCAGAACTGGAATTAATTTGCAAACTTGACACCATCAAATTGGGCCTGAATAAAGACTGGGAGTGGCTGGGTCAGTACAGAAAATAATTTTCCCTCTGATACTCACACCTTCTTCTCAACCGTTGTGAATGGGCCACATCTACTGTGATTGAATTGGCCTTGTTAGCCGTACAAAAAGTAATTTCCCCTCTGTTGAGAAATGGGCTACATCCCCTAATTGAATTGGCCTCGATAGCACTGACCCCCCACTTGGTAAGGCAACTCCTATCTTTTCATGTGCTGTGTATTTATACGTGCCTACTGTATTTTTCACTCCATGCATCTGATGAAGTGGGTTATAGCCCATGAAAGCTTATGCCCAAATAAATTGGTTAGTCTCTAAGGTGCCATAAGAACTCCTTTTTTTTTTTTTTTTTAAAGTTATAGGGGTTTATTCTCCTTTCAGTGCATATAGGGCGTCTACACCTAATTTATATCCGGTGTTAAGAAGAGAAATGGACAGACTCCATGTGTGAGAATTTAACCAAAATACTGTTGTTAAGAAAATAACCATCTGTAGCAATTTGAACTATTTCTTAAGACCTCTATTAATCATTTATAAGCTATTTCTGAATGGAACCTTAGTTTAAAGTGTGATCACTATTTTTATATATGCTTCCTCTTTCTTCCAGCAAAGAGAGACTTCCTGGAACTTAAGGGGGAACACAAAACCATTGCCTCTGTAAAGCATGTGACCTGACACGGACCATTGTCTTGTTTGTTTGTTTGTTTGGCTACATCTTACAATGACAAGTTAGAAATATCAGGAAGAAACACTACTTCTAATTTATGTCCATTTCTTTTACAGGTGTCTGTTTCTTTCCTGCTTCCACCCCAAAAATTAGTAAAGCTATAGACCTTTGACCCACTAACAAAGCAATTGAACCTCAAGGCCCTATCAGTTGATGGCCTGGTGAGGCTGTTAGTTAGTGAGACCATCAGTGCTGCTTTGACATGAGTGCAGTGTGAGCATTTATGTCCATTTCTCAAAAAGTTTCAAGGGTGACTGATATGACACCACCACCCCCTCCCCCTTTTTCCGTTTTCAGAGAGGCTGAGGCCAATGCTGTCCTGTTAAGAACAGTGGATGCTTTTTGCAGACAAGCACTTGGCTATTACATAATGTTAGGGAATGGCCAAGAAGAATGAAGAGGGGGGAGACCTCTGGGCTTTTTCCCTTCACATACCCTGGCCTAATCTTTGTGAGTTAAAGAGCCAAGAATCACATGCCTCAGTTGCTTTAAAAGGCATTTTGAATGTCACAGGACTTCTGAGTCTTGAAAGGGAATCTGGAATCTCTTCTCTGAGCAGTGTTGAAAGAGATATTGACCCTTCACCACCCCAGAATTCAATCGCTGCTGGCAGGGAAAGCCAGGAAGTTGATATCTTGCCCAGTGAGATGACTGGTGATTGTGTAACCCAGAAGGTTACAAAGTCCTCTGAATGGTACCCTAGTCCCCAGGTGATGTCTAGGTCCCCTAGACAATCCATGTTGCAAAAGGATAATCTCCTTTCCCTGAGGTTTACACAAAACTGTAACCAATGCCTGATTCACACTGCTCTGAAATTTAATATTGTTTGAGGTATCCATTCAATGCTGTCCTTGGGTGAACCAGTGTGGCAGTTTTGTCATCATCCTGTTCTCCAAATGGTTGAAAGGAAGGAGAAGCTGATCTTAGCCCATAGCACATACCAAAATCAGGGTGGGTTTGTTCTATGAATTCCATTAGCATTGTGGTTCTGTTCCTCCCAGAGGGAGGAGGTATTTACCTACTCTAGCCCTTGCTTGCTGTAGCATGGGTCATCTACCTTTCATGTAATTAGGGAGGAGAGGAGAAATGCCTGCCAGTTATTTCATGGTGACCAGGCTTGCAGTGGGGATTGGAGCACACAGGGAGGGTGGAGTAGTATACAGTGGAAGAAGTCTAACCTTTCCCACCTACAGACAGCAGGGAGAAACCTTGAGGTCCCCCTGACCCCATCTAGTGATGAATGGGACAAAGAAAGAGGGGAAAAGTCCAACTCTGCAAAAAGGAGGAAAGTGGAAATGCCCCCTGCAGGTGCTGGAGGTGGGGATTAGCATGCTTTCCTCAGTTAAAGACAATGGGTGTGGGTAGTAAACCACTGCCTTCCTCTCCCCCCCAGAAGAGATATGTAGGTAGAGAGCCCCTTTTGCTGGAGCTTATTTGAAATGGATGATCACAGGGCCTTGCTTATGGGCCTCCATACTTCTGGACCAGCATCTAGAATTCTGGATATTTCTCTGAACCCAAAACCATTAGAAGTCTTCATATTTAAATTATAATAATAATAATAATAACCTACCTTAACTGCAGCTCACACATTAGAATCCTGTCTTCTTTGAAGAATTGTCCCTGGGGAGGGGAGAAAGGAATGAGGGTAAGGTGTGTAACAGGATTTTAAAATCTATCTCCATGGTATCCTAGTCACCTATCATGCTGAGAAATTGCTATGCAGCACTTTTAATGAGCATGTGTTGTTCATCTTGCTACTCGAGTTCTTGTCAGTCAAGCAGGGCTGCTGTTTAGTTGACCTGATTATGTGGAGATGACTTCCTTCCTGTCCCCATTAAGCTCAACGGGCTGCTTGATCTAGTTTGCTTAAACTTGTCCAGTGAGGTGCTCCTGGCTAGATCTGTTTCAGGCAAAATTTAAAACAGAAAACAATTAGAAAAATAACCATTCGAAGGAGAAAACAGGCCCATAATAGCAGGCTTTGTGTTAACCTTGGGAACTAAAAGACTGTTGATAGGTTGGATTCCCTTGTGCTGTCCTGTGATTCTGCAAACACAGTGGTACTTTCGTGTTCAGCAATTATCAGTGTGCTCAACCCCCTACTGAATGTGCACAGCTTGAATGGAAACAACATAAAAGCTATTGATATTGGCCTGAAAATGTAATTAACTCAATGTTCTACATCTACAAATGTCAGTAAACCATATGCCAACGAGTGGGAAAAGATGCAGGCTTGGTTTCACCATGAAATCAGGGAAATGATTAGACCTGACAACCTTTTTCTGTTGTTTGGAATGTTAAGTTCATGCATTTGAACATATTGGAGATATGGGATACCACCAACAAAGTATTTTACTGGAAGAGTTATTCCTGATGTGTACCTGAAAGTTTGCAAGAAAATAAATAACGAGGAAAAAAAAATTAATTTACCACAGATATTTGGACTTCTGTAAGAACCCAGAAAAGATAGTATTTTCTGGACGCTGAATAACATGCAACTAAAATGAATTGTTCTTCTACGTAGTGAATCTTCTGAAGGAAGCCATGTAGGTTCCAAAACAAGACTGGCTTAAAAAATGCTGCAGACACAGATAATTATACCATTTTATGTGCAAATGATGGTCCGTGATACCACTGCTAATATGTGCAAGACATTTTGGAAAGCAGAATTTTCCATTGTTGACTGGTTTTCCTTCGTTCAGTGCAGTTATGCATACATGATGGGTTTTCCAGCAAATGAGTTGTCTGATTATGTTTGTTGTTAGGAAGAATAATTGTGAGCAATTTCAAGCACTTTAGTGCAATGACTTCACAGTTACATATTCTGCAAAAAGATCTGGGCCTCTCAGAGGTGCAGTTGATTCAAGGCGTAAGTACATGTTGGCTCTCTCTATTTCTACTGTTAGCACATTTATTAGAACAAAGGCAGGTCTGGGCTGTACAGAGGCACAGAGACTGTATTTTGCAAAGATAAAGTAACTAGCCTAGTCAGTGGCTTTTAGCAGAAAATGTTTTCTTGGTTGCGTTTAAAACAGGTTGGACGACAGCATAATAGTTTCAACTTACATAGACTTTCTGGTGTTATATTTGTATAAATTGTTAGTACCAAATATGTTGGTATTTTTAGTAAAATCAATGAAGTGGCAAATGTAATACTTTTCTCTTTCCTTTATGGATCTATCCATTATTTGGCTTCAGCCAAATAACCTTCCACTTATTTGGTATTCATTTATGCACTAACTTTCAACTCTCAGTACACCCTGTATGGTAAATGGTCAGCCTGGTATGGTTCTCATGAAAGGATTGAGTAGGCCTATGCAACATGGGCTGGGAAGCCTGGAGCTAAAATAGCCCTGATTACAGGATGAATCACACCTGGATTGAATCAGGTGCTTTCAGGCTAAGAAGAGCAGGAAGTTGCAGTAAAAGGGGGCAGCCTGGGGTACTGCAACTGTGTCTGTAGATGCTGTAGGGAGCAAGAAGGCTTCTGTAGGGCCCTGATTCAGCAGGGCAAAAACAGAAGTAGCTAGGAGAGTGGGAGAAAGCTGTCTAGGCAGGGAGGCCTGGGAGAGACTGTAAAGGCCAGCTGGGATGAAGACTGTGTGAATTTGTGCTTTTGTGTTGTTTTGGGATTAATCTGGAGAGAGACTGAATTAGAGTTGGGGGCCTAGAGGGACAGTTTGTAAAAGAGGACTAAAGAAATATGATTCTTTGTGGGGCTTGTTTGAATGACCTATGAACTCTTAAAGGGCCCTGAAGAGTGGGGGAAACAGAGCAGGGCACTCCAGAGTGACCTGTGGCCATGAGGAGGCACTCAGGAGGTGGCTGCGCAATATTAGTCTGTAATAGCACACAAAAATAAACATCTCCATATATTTGGCCCCACCCTACCTACGATGTAGCTTTTCAAAATACTGTAGTAGAAAATACACTGCCTTGTGAGAGACATGAGCTCTCTGCTTCTGCAGGGGTGTGGTGAGCAAGCACTCCAGCACAGCCTTGGCAACAGAGATGATCAGTCTTAATTAAGAATTGGCCGCTGAGAGGAGCAATCGGGGAAGATGACCTGGATACCAGAGGGAGTTTGTTTGGTGAACAGCTAGTGAAGGAGGGGGCCTTGGGAGGCATACTCAGCTCTTTAAAAGAG